AGGAGGATCGCTTGAGCCCAGGAGTTTGAGGTTGTTGTGAGCTAGGATCACTGCACTCACTCTAGCCTGGGCAACACAGTAAGACTTTGTCTCAAAAAAAAAAAAAAAAAAGAAGAAAATGAATGAATTAATGAAAAGAACAATTGATAGTGTGACCTTGATTCACATATGAATTGAAGATGCTGGAGCTTTTCTTAACTGAGGAGAAAGCCTGAGATGTAGCAAGAGGGGGAGGCCAAGGAAAACTAAACGTAGGGTCAGAGTAGAGAATGGTATCACAAGGGAAGGCCAGCAAGTGGCAAGAGACATCAGTTTGAAGGTGGTTTTCATTATTTGTCTTTGAAGGCATATACTTTATATTCTTGACCAACCCATCTTTTTGGAGCTCTGCCTTACTTCCGTATTTCTCTATGTTTCATTTCTTGTTTATAGTAAGAATTTCTTCTTTTCTACACCCACTGAATGTAGATGCTCCCTATTGTTCTTTGCATTTCCATTCCTAGTGATGTTTAACCACCACCTCGGCTCAGCCATCCCTGCCAAGGGAAAGCTGCAGGCAACTCCTATAACAGAGAATAGACCATATATCTGATTGCTCTAGATGCATCTTGAGATGCTCCAAATAAATTTGTCTCCCCTCCCCAAATGGCTCCACTGTTTCATGCCACCATCCTTTTGGGCCATTACACTCAAATTACCTGTCCTTGACCTTTTTCACCACTCAAGTAATTCCATCCTCTCAGGTTCTGTCTTTCTTTTAATGTTCCTAAGTCAAATATGAAGCTTTTCAGCTATGAGAAATAGAATCCCAGTTAAAATCAGCTGAAAAATAGGGATTTCTTTTTCTGACCATAGAAGATTTGAGGCAGGAGGCTTCTGCATGCACTTAGCCAGCTCAGTTATGTCTCAGTGACATCTCCAGAGTTTTCTTAGAGTTTTTTCAGACTTCTCACATCTCGGTCACAAGACAGTCATCCCAAATCCAAATATCTCCTTTCTATTTAGGGCAGAGAGAAGGAAGAAGGGAAAAGCAGCAGGGCAGCTTCATCTGTCCCTTTCATCCTAAGTGCTAAATCTTTCCCAGAAAAACCTAGCAGATTCCTGCTTATGACTCACTGCTTTCTGAAGTGGCAGCTAAGAAAGAGCATGACTAAGAAAATATTTCATATCTATGCCCCTATAGTAGAAACAGACTAAGAAGAAAGGGTTTGTGTTGGCTAACCTGCAGAATTTCTCACATTCCCCAATTACACTCCCACGAGTTCTCTTTGTGTCTAACCTGTTCCTTTCTTTCCTTTTTCATCACTCAAATTTTTCCTTTCTTTCTCTTTCCTTCTATCTCCCTCCCTTTCTTCTTTCTTTTCTTCCTTCGTTTCTTTTTCTTTCTCACTTTATTTCATAAAGCACTCAAAAAAATTCATAGGAAATTAATAGGGTGACATAATAAAATATAAAGAGAAATAAAGACAATACTTCTGTATCATCTTGAGAAATATGCCCACAAAGTATAATTTCTCAATTTGGATTATCGTAAGAAATAGGTAACAAATAATCAAAACATTATTTTCAATGAAAAACTCTGCGTATTGGTTAGGTAGACTAGCTCTTGGGTATAAATAAATAGAGTCATAAATGCCTTCACAGTGATAGATGTTTCTTTCCTGTTGGTGCAGCAGCCAGGGACCAACTTTCTCTCCATGTAGTGATTCAGGTTCCCAGTGATTTGGGGTTGTGTCCTTTGGTTTTTGTGTCATAGAGTCCCTGTCTGGAGTCAGCTGAAGGAATGGGATAAAGGGATGTGAGAAGATACACTAACTTCTTAAAAGCCTTATGTTAAAAATGGCAAAATTTGCTTCCACCTGTATTCTATTGACTAACACTCAAGTCTGTGGCCTTTTCTGAGAAATGAAGTATAACTATGTGCTCAAGAAGAATAGCTATTAGTTTTGCTACATCTGGCTCAGGTATTTTGTGTTACTATTGGGTAGGATATTTATTCTGAGATGCAGTGTAGTAGCATTTACAAGAATAAAATATGCAGATTATGAAGACACAGTCAGATCTGGACTTGAACCCAAGACTCCCCATTATCTCTCAGAATAGTTTTACTGGCTTAATTCACTTACCAACGTGACTTACTTTATCCATTTAACAAATGTGCAAGATAATAGTACGTACTTCATAGGTTTGTTCTAAAGAGAATTTAAACAAATACTATTTTTAAAACACTTAGTACTTAGAACATGGTAAGTATTCAATAAATGTTAGCAATTGTCAACATATTAAAAAAAAAGACGTATTGAAATATCCAGCCTCATTAGAAAAAGAAATAACGAACAAATGATATTTTTAGACAGAAAGAGAAGTACACAGAATTTTTAACTAAAAACTCACTGAGCACTTCCATATTGGAATATAAAAGAAAACAGAATAATCTGATCAGCTTGGTTAGGACTCAGGAAACTAGACAGAAATTTTAAAATCCTATGTGATGGAAAAATCCAAATTTCAATAATTTTATCATTAAAAAACTTGATGCAAACTATTAATATTCCCCCCACCCCCACCAATTCCCTCTGAAATGGCCTATAGCACACTGAAACTTACACGATGCCTGGCAGACAGTGAGTGCCAAATAAATGTTTGTTGAATGAATGAATAATTGATTCTCTTAATTTATTACATCTTTTACTCATTTTAGTATACCTACATGATGGCTGACATGTTTTTCTGTTAGCCTACTGAAGATTGAAA